TTTAGAATATAATCTTTTACACCTGTGATATGTAGTTTTTGTGTGTAGGATTGAGTATTTAATTTTTGGCATTCTGTTATATTTGTGGAAACACTATAAATATATCCAAGGGCCTGAATTTACCTAATGCCGATATGGAAGGGCAAGGTCAAATTCCATTGATGACATAGTTTGATGCAGACAACAATTGTTGTTTTGCAACGAGATTCAAAATGTAATATTGATTGTGGATTTATGTGTTTAAAGTGTTGAAAGTCTAACAAAAACAGGATACACTGTGCAGTTATGGACATCAATTGTTCACACAGAAGTGATACGATGCTTATTTTGACCGTGTTTACAACAAACTATAGGGAGTTGGATTTATGTGGAAGGCTAAGGAGTAAGGTAAAGCAGCAATTAATTTTAATAATCTTAATAATATGACTACGCTTACTAGAAGTTGGATTTCTACGTTTTGGCAATAAAAGCAGTCATGTCACTTGAGCTAAATTTGCAGTTGCCTAGATTGTTTTTAACATAATTCCAAATCATATCTCAAAGGATATATGAATTGAGTCATACCTCTTTTCTTTATGCAGTGTATAGGCTAGCTGTTTTTAAAAATCTTTGATCCCTTCTGCCTGTGTATGAAAGTTTTGTCGAAGACGTAATTTCTCCTATTATATACTTGGCAAGTTTCAGGCTTTATAGCTTTTTGGACGTCGATAAGTGCAGAGCATTCCCGAACGTGCATGACGTCATTACCTCACTGACGGCAATGTACGGAAAATTACGAATAATGATGGATCCCCTTCCGAAGTGGCTGCCATTTTGACAATGTTAAATCCCCGTAGACTTTGAATTTGCCGCCGTGTCAATACACTGATTGACCTCGAGGATTCGTATAAATGCAGGAAGTTTGGAAAAAAATCAATCTACCGATCGAACCTAGGTTGAAAGCCAAGGTATTTATATATTTTGAGATATCTTTCAAAAAGTAGTGACGTTCCGGTCGTGGGACAGACTATACCAATTATTTTGATACATGTAACTTTTAAATGTATGTAACTATGCGTGCAGTAGATTGACTTAAAAAAAACGAGTCATTAAATGCAACCTAGAAGAAACATTTTAGTTTCCTACATATAAAAAAACGTTGTATTTTTTTCTCCCTTTAACCGCATTCCCTTCTCTTCAAAATAACGATTGGAAGAAAATTCTTTCATAATGTAAGGCGCATTTAATATTGAGAAACATACAATGCAGCAATAAATCATTTCTCGATAGTATGTAAACTGACTGCGACGTTTAAAGTATCTTAGATCTACTTTAAAGTCCTATTTTTGTGTTTTGATATGCCCCTTTATACTACAATTAAAGCTACCCCCACTTTTCTTTTCATTTTTTAAATGAGGAATGTATATTGCATAATATAAGTGAAAAGCAAAACATTTCACCATTTAGTTTGTTTTTTTTTAAATTTATCATTCCATTGTTTTTATGTAGTTTTGGAATATAATAGTGTGTAAAACCATGAACAATTGTCCATATTTTGAAATTGCCCCCATTCCACTACAATGAAGACAAGGTAACAAAATTTCAATCTAATTTTTCTTAGCATTGTACATAAAAAATATATATATTAAAAATTAAAAAAAAATATTTGCTGCTCCAGTTGGGTCTCATTAAGGTCCTAATCATTAACTTTATTTACGTCACCAGTAATAACGTGTACAGCAGCAATATCCGTAACTACAGATCCGAGCCTGCATTCTGGTGTCGAAGAATAAAAAAATGGACTTTCCTTGACCTTTTCAAGTAGACTATTTAAAAGTTTCAAATAGACATAGTAAAGTTTGGTTCGAATATGATGAAAACCTAACTTTTGATTTACATAATGTATTAATGAATCAAAAGAGACAACGTGTACTAAAGATTTCTTGTAAGACCGATGCTCATGACTACTTCTTACAGTACCGACCAGACCCAACCTAACACCAGAGCGAACCCAAAGCGCACCCCGGGTTCGCTTTCTGGGTTCGCTCGGGGTCCGTTACGGGTCCGCTTTCAGAAATTTTGGGTGCGCTCTGGGTTCGCCTTGGGTGCGCTTCGGGTTCGCTCGGGGTCAGCTCTGTGCGTTCGCTTTCTGGTTTCGCTTTACGCACTCATGCGTGAAGCGGACCCCACTTTAATCTTGCCGCCAGTAAGCTCCGCCCCTTGTTTATTCCAAATAGAGTAGTGAAATCGAACATTGTTGTTTTCGTGGCGATCGACATATGTGCATATACAGTGGCTGCAACGTAATTGTTGACAACATACACGAACGATCACGTGAAACGAACGATTAACGCACGATTAAATCTGTTACACGAACGATCCTTCACGGACACGATTCTCCACCATACACGATCATTCAGAATTGTTAACGCAAATGCACGATTTTTTTTTTACACAAAATAGTTAAAAATATTTAGGATATTTTTAAAAAGAAATAATAAAAGCATAATTAATAGACATTTTAGATTAAAAATATTTATTGCTGCAATTCATCGACTTTGGAAAACTGAAAAAAAAAATAGTTAGAAACGAGTATTTTAGAAAATAACTGTAAATAAGACTTAATAGTTATTTTAGATTACAAATGATTATTGATGTAATTCTCCGACCTAGAAACATTGGGGTTTTTTTAAAAATCTTTTTGATATGTAAAGATGTAATTTATGATCGAATGCGGCATGTTCTATCACATGATATACACTGTAGGTTGGCCGTGAGAATTGATTCAATTGGATTTTTGATATGCAGTAAGGGGGTAAAAAGATTTTTAAAAATGGCCTAAAAATGAATGAAAACTATATCCATCTTTCCATTTATAAATTTCAAAAATCAGCATTTTTTTTTTAAATTCATTCATCTGCAGAAATTAAAATAATGATAATAATAAGTATCAGGAATAAAAAGTAAACCCGACAATCATGTCGTGTACATTTGCCGACTAAATATTTATGTAAATGTTGGGAATAATTAATTTTTTTGTAAAAATATACATTTTTGATGTATTGATATAAAAATTCCATGACCATAATTAGCAGTTAACGGGGCCTATCATCAGAGAAATAAATCGTTAAACATCTTAAATACGCGTTATCATTAAAAGTTATCCTATTTCAAAAGAATTCAATACTGTACGACTTATTATATTGCTTATTTACTACCGATAATTAGTTCGTTCAAGAATATAAATCGCGCTTCGTTTTTTTCTTTTTATTTCAGTTAAAAAAAAAAAAACCAAGCTAAATCAAGCTTTACATTAATTCTTTCTTTTTTCTTTCTTTTTCTTTCTCTTTTTTTGTAAAAGATAAATCAAAATAAAACCATAGTAGTTTACGATTGGACATACATGTACATTTATGCTATTCATTGAATTTATTTATTTTTTTTTTTCAATTAAGAAGATCGATAATTTTGAGGTTGATTTAAACAAAAATGTAAATAAGAATTATAAAAATAAAGTAACCGAATGAAAGCACGTACATATACTTAAAACATTGCTGTGACATCATGCCTTTGTTCTGGCAGTCTAAAAATTTACCTGTAGCCGTCCGATAATAATAATTATCAGTCCAATAATATATTATCGGACGGCGGTGATAACATAATCAGACAGTAGTTAAAAAACAACAACTAGAGTGAAATCAAGGTTTAATATGTCCAGAAACAAAAAAAAAAAAAAAAAAACAAAAAAAAAAAAAAAAAAATTAGGGAGAAAAACATTCAGGGAAAGCAAAGGCGAGGAAATTAAGTTGCTAAAAATAGCAAATCCAAGAAGAAGCTCAAGTTTTAACGTTCCTCAAAAGTAACACTTTCCATTCAGTTTTTTGCAAAGCATTTTCAATACAGCACTGTGAATAAGCCAATTTAAATTCATTTCTGATAAAGAACCAGTCTGCGAATCTTTGCATTTAACCATATTTGTTTGCCAAAGACTGCACTTTTAAAACCCAATATTTTCATTATATCATCCAATCAAAAATTTTAAATAAAAATCCGCAATTTTACTTTCAATGCATTTTGAAGATATCATCTAACACTGTATCTGTATCAATGTCAAACGCACTTAATAAAAAAAAAATATTCCGAATCATAAAAAAATCCTTCATCCCCTGACCACTGTCCATAGTTCCTGCTAAGCCAAACGACAGCCATTGAATGAATGAATGAATGCAACAAAATAGTTCACTCACTGATTTTACTGTCTAAAGAAAATTTTTTTTCTCTTTTCTTTTGTCTACTTATAAGATGGTTTCAGGTGGAAAACTATTGATGCCTGAACTCCTATTGTGTAATTATCGGACTCCTCCAGGTAACTTTTTGACATTTAAATGGCAATGTTTTAAGTAAGATATTTGCCTCATAAAATTCTATCTGTAAAATTATCAGACTGTTTCGGCCCTAACGGGCCTCAAACAGTCTGATAATTTTACATGTAGAACAGTATTCGGCATATATCCATTACATAATATTGTACAGTATCTTGAGATGATGAAATGCTATAATTTGTCAAAAAACTTTTTTTTCCCCTTTTTTTAAAGTAACAATTGTGATAACCATTATTTTCTTTTTTCTTTTACACATGAAAGTACGTTTTTTCTGATAAATTTAGTGTTTCCATGACATTAAGAAGACTGTCCTTTTGTAGACCGGGTGCTAAATTCTAAACCCATACTGCAGAGGATCTAAGCCGTTGGGTACAAAGTGCTGAAATTGAAATTGATGAAATATTATATATAATATTATATATATATATATATATATATATATATATATATATATATATATATATATATATATATATATATATATATATATATATATATATATATATATATATATATATAAGTTAGTAAGTCAGATCTCTGAGTTCATAGGTTGAACTGTTAGTCTTTCTTTTTATGTATCTCCATACATATACTTTTCTGTCTTGCCATGATCCTATCGAGAGGAAATGAGTTTTACTATTATAACCCATGCAGGCAGTATGGTTGGTCTATCCCTTGCTCGTTTGTTAAAAATTCTGATAGGAAGTTACCGTCCTTATCAATCATGTTTATTCTATCGGTTTCAATATCACAGACCAGGATGTGTGACATAGCATCCGTACAGATTTCTCGTGGATTAAATCGATTCCTAGATATACCTCTACTGTAGTAGAATCGATGACTTCCTCCACGCTCTGTTACAGATACAGCACTTAGGCCCAAGTCAGACACAATGATATCTCCATTGTGGTTCTCTGTTATGTAGAGAGGATCCCTAAACAACTTCTTACCTTCTTTGTTGTGTTGTATGGTTTGCATTTTTTGTCCGGTGTCGTTGTACAGTATTACCATGCCTTCCTTGTATGCATAAGTGTTTCGCATCCCCACCAGTATATCTCCATTAGAGGGCGAACTGAAGACACAGAATGGTCTGAATGGTAAAGTGGTCTCTATAAGTGTAGATTTTGTTTTGTTATCTTTAGATAATGTGTGAATATTATGATCCTTGTCTATATAAATAAGACCACAAGCAATGTTAAGTGTGTGTACTCCATAGCTATACTGTTTTGCATATATTATATGATGTAGTGTTTCACATTTCATGTTTGTCAATACAAGATTGTCGTCATAACTGACCCAAAACTGGTCTGATGATACACAGGAAATGTGCGTTACACGTCCATTATCTTTATGATTAGAAATGTTAGGCAAAAAGAAAAAATTGTGTAATTTGGGGATTGGCATCAGTTGCAGACATTCATCTCTAATTTTTCTTTTTTTTCGTCTCCATCATGTGGAATTCATGTGGAAGTAAATTAACGACATCACTAATGTTGATATCGTTATCCAGGGAGAACATGGGGCGTTGTGTAAGATAATGTGTGTCCTTTAACTTAGAGACACAGGTTTTCTTTAGGAATAAAATCAATTTTACTGGCCTGTTTGTTAATTGTTCAGATCTGTGTCCATATTTCTCTATAATGACAAGGTGCTTGATCATTTTTCTTGTATGCTCTTGTAATCTTTGTTTCGCATACGATCTTGGCATAATCTTAATAATATTACAATCCGTATTGTCAATGAGGTCCTTAAATTTTTGAGCTCTTTCTGATATCTCTGATTGATAGTTCGTGATTTTGATGTGACTTTGTATATCATTTATGACGTTTGTCAGGAGAAATTGTCCATCATAAAGATACTAACTTCTTATTTTCCGAATTATTTCTTTGTTTAGTTGACGGTTATTATTATAAGCTTCTCTAATGTCAAATGTTTGGTGATTTCTGTGTTCATAACATTGAAAACAAAAGGTTCACATGTTTGACAGAACAATTCGTAGATACTGTCTGGGTGTCTCACACAGGGCTCAACGCTTTGGATGTTTTCATTTCTCTCACTGTAAGACACGACATCATGGTGCATAGTATGCAGGTCTATGATATGACTCTGTTTACAATGTAGGCACATGTCACATTTACAAGTGTTACAAAAAAATTCAGTGTTTCCATGACATTTAGAAGACTGTCCTTTTGTACACCGGGTGCTAAATTCTAAGCCCATACTGCAGAGGATCTAAGCCGTTGGGTACAAAGTGCTGAAATTGAAATTAATGAAATATTATATATATATATATATATATATATATATATATATATATATATATATATATATATATATATATATATATATATATATATATATATATATATATATATATATATATATTAGGGACGTCAATTTTGTCAATAATTCATATTCGAATATTCAATGAAAGTATTCGAATATATTCGAATATTCGATAAAATAAATAAAATATGGTTTATTTTAAATGTACATCATCATACTTTCGAGACAGGCTTTGTGTCGGTATTTGAAAGTAAAATTGGATGTACGAGACTACATTTGATATTTGTCAATATCAAATATATCTGTCAATATCAATTTGACTTAAGTGTATAAAACCAAAATATAATTTTCACAAAATATAACCAGGGACAAGAATGCCGTTTACTCTTCAGATTTAAATACACGTAATTAATTACAATTATCTGCTTAATAATCTTTGATTCAATGTTTTGAAAATATAAGCAAATATAAGCAATGATCAATAAAATTTATTTTCGTAAGTGTATGTACACTCTTCACGTCTCTTAGACTTTCAAGAAGGGGTTCATTTCGTTGTCTTCGAATCTAGATCCGATCCTATAAAACTATTGAAAATACTTTTTGTATTATACATTAATAATTCTTGATGATTTATTTCATACCTTCCTCAAAATGAAATAATTTAAAAGATTTATAAGATAAGAAAGTAGCGAAAGAAATTAGGGGATCGCTAGTAAATAAAACAGGGATAATCCCAGCACTATTCTAATTAAAATTTATTACCTTTTTTGTGAAATCTGAAAAAAAAACAACGAATATTCGAATCTCAAATTCATATTCGAACATTAACTCATCGAATGAATATTCGAATGTTCGAATATTCATTGACATCCCTAATATATATATATATATATATATATATATATATATATATATATATATATATATATATATAACCGAATCTGTGCCAATAGCGCCGAGAGCGTCTGTGTGTGCCAATAGCGACGACATTGTATTTTCTATAAGAAGGATATGTTTTACTGCATTTTCAGATTTCATATAATTATCATTAGCAATTTTAAAGAGATATACTGAATATCATGAAAAAATAACCTTATGATAAAAATATATAAGGCATATATATTTTTCGTTTGCCTCTATTGGTCCTCAAAGAGTATTTTGGGTTTGCCTCTAAAGGCCATGGACCAATAGAGGCAAAAAAGGGACAAAACTTCGACGAGCTAATTTTGTTTTTCAAATGAAATTATTGGCCGTCATGACCTGTTTCTCAAATCAAATTATTTTTTGTACTTTATAGATACATGATAAGAAATTTTACTATAATTATAACCCATGCAGTATTCGAAAGCGATTTCTTAAAATTATTATTTTGACAAATCATAATACAGACGTACTTGAGTAATATTTACTGGGTATGAATAAATAATTCAACAAATATTCATTTACTTTAATAACTGTGAAAAATTATTGAATATTTATGCATATTATTTCAGGGAATGGAAAATCAGTCTTAATTTGCATGAATTTTGGAAGAATTTCTTTCAAATGAACATTGCATTAAATAGCGCATTGCATTTGCACAGAAATATAATCAATAAAAAAAATGATCAAATTATTAACCAGGGTAAAAAACAAAAATAGCCCCATCAAGTTCTCTTTACATGTATTTACATATCGTTTCCTTTACGTGTACGTGATTTTTTTTCCCTAAACTTCGAAAAATGCGATATTCTTAATATTTATAATTATTTACAAACACCCTTGCCCTGTTTACATGCATGTATTGACATATGCTTTTATGATGAACATATCTATTTTAAACAATTAAGAAAAAGTTTATTTTATGCACACAAATTAGAAGATTTGAAAGTTTCAAACAAAATATCGTTATCGTTCTAAAAATAGTTGTAAACAAAACAGAGTTACCTCCTATTTGCTAAGTGTGTCAGGCGCGGATAATAGTAGGCGTTTTGTGAGAAAAAATCAAAGAACTGATAGTACCGTTGGGAATCTTTTTTTTTTTTAAATGTATTTTGAACATATTTTATTGCATTATCAGAAATGGGAACTGGATACAAGTTCTTGCTACTTAGAAATTTTTTTCCCTGCAATACATACAATGATATCATGATCAATTAACATTAAATTGAAAATATGAAGCTATACATGTAACCGACGTCTAAAGAGATGTAGAATTAGAAATTTGTTTTAGTTAGCTAAATATAAACTTTGTAAAAAGGGTACTAAATACAGTGCAGATAATTAACTAACTGAAATAAATATTTAAATTTTCTCCTCCAGAATGATCTTACTGCATTACATAATGTCTACAAAAAAAAAAAAAAGAAACATGATTCTTTTGCCAAGTCAATTTCTTTAAATATAGAAGTAAATTTTCTTCCCAAACTTTAAAGGAAAACGTAAAGTGTAACCTACAGATTTAACAATCGGCTGAATATTAAAGGAAAATCAGACAAACGTTTTTCATATTAAAAAAAAAAAATCCTCTGTGACCTGGTCAAAGTTTCCGAATGTAGGACAGTCAAAGGATAGGACAAAATTTTACATGGGGGAATTTTATTTAAAAAAAAAAAAAATTCTGATCCCCCTTATTTTATTTACACACTTTTTAAACATGCATGATATTTATAACACAAGCAACATATTAATAAGGACTTGCATAATTTTTATATCAGTGTACTTCCAACGGCAGGAAATTTTATAGAACGTTCATCTGAAGACATTGGTCGAAATAAAAAAAATAGATATATTTATTATATCGCTTATAAATAGTTAAAAATGAAAATCTACTTCAAGTCTAGAGGATTTTAGCGTTCAATCTCTTGTTTGCATTACATATACGGATATGCCCCTAAACATTCCGAATACGATGGTTCAATATCGAACCCGTTTTAAACAAAAGAGACGTCGCCTGCTCATCTGTTCAACGACAATTTTTATAATGGGTAGTGGCAGCTAGATAAGATGTGTCTATTTCCACAAAAAAAAAATAAAATTATTAATTGAGAACATATAAACCCCGATAAAATTCTTACTTAGCAAATCATAAGGCATAGTAGGGTTATTGGAATTGTGCGATGTTGAATACTTGCAAAACAGACGAAGAAACTACACAGTTTTAATTTTGAATACCGATAATGAAATATATATTCTATCATTATTCTTGAGTTATTTAGTTGAAATAATTCATATAAATCAATTGAAAATGTTTTTGCTATTGCTATAATTGATTACATTTATATGTCAGGTACAAGCCCTGTTCTTGTCTGTAAATAGTAGTTAATCTTTCAATGCATCACACGAACGAACAAGATTTGAATCAATTTAGAACCGATCATAGATATTTCATCTATTAAGGGAAGAACTTTCTTGGACTGATATGTTTCAATGTCTTTCTTGTATCCAGTTAGAAGTATGTATTTCATATTCTGCTGTGCTGACTACATAGTTGGTAAGCATATAACTTATCTAATTTAGGAATACTTATTTTCATTATTATAGGATAAAAGATGGAATGCACATCATACTGAAAACTGCCTCGCATAGAAAATTCCTTTTCCTGATAGCAGGAAGTGAATGTTAAAATAACCGGATTACGTTTGAGATAAAGTTGCCGAAGCTCACATTATAACAAAATTCACCTTCCATCACCAGGTTTCGACCATGAGCATTTTTCACATTGTGACATTGAAGCACAAAAGCCA